TAGCTGTTCACCCTGTAGTTAATGAAATATATACTTATACTCTTGTTAAAAATATAACAAAAGTTACGTAAAAATAATGATTATCACATTAAAACTTATAAAAATCGTCGGTATTTTTAATAACCCTGTATATATGGTGCGTAAAATATTTTATGTTATTTAAAGTTGTAAATCTAGAAATAATACATTTTATATTAAATATTTTTGACTCACGCTGTAGATAAAAATATTTTTGACCCCTGTTTATTATATTTGTGAAAGATGTAACAAGATTAGCTACAAAAAATTACAATCGGTCACCTTTTCTCTAGAATAACCGGTAACAAATAAGTTTAATGCCATGTATCTTAAAAACCAGTCACTGGATTTGATTGATTCTATGGACACTATTGCTCAAAAGGTTGAAAACTACAATATGTCAAAAGTGTATAACATTTGATAGGTCGCCCCTTTTTCGTAAGAGGTGTGTGGGTCGATGCTTAACATCGCAGTTGAAGTCTTCCTAAATTTGCTACTAAAATGCTTAATAGAGTAGATGACGTCCCTGTCGTGTCTAATACCAACTATTCGATCTTAAGAATACTCTTATTTAGATTTGTTTCCTGTAGTATTCATGTTATACTTGTATAATATTATAAAACCAATTTGATTCAAATCAGTATTTAAAAATAGTTTCACTTACATTGCAGTTTTTCTTATTTCGATTTTTTGAGTCTATGAAATACTGGTTTGAGAGGAATATATATTAGCTGTTCCACATACTATTTTTCAGCGATCCAGAAGCAAAAAATATGAGTTTGTTGAGGGCAGATTTAAACAGAAAGATGTTGAGTTATCGCGAGGTTTCAGATTGAATGATCCAATTTGAATTTAATCTATCACGTTGCGTTGTCTAAATTTATTATTTTGATTAGTTTTATAACGAAAACTTATTTGGATTGTAAATCAGAAGTTAGTTAGACTAGATATATTGAAAAAACATCGATATACGAGGGTTTATTCCCATGTCTCTGACCTATTTATGTTATGTATGGGGTAATAAAACACTGCGACCTAAAATACTTATTGTGTCCCCGTTCTGTTGCTAAGGAAGCAAGTAAATAGACTTGATGTCTATAACGACAATTTCAATCCTATCTTCATAAGAAAATGTATGATTTAGAAGTTAAACAGATCCCACCTTCTATTTGGTAGTATAGTGCCCTTGGATTCTGGAATGCTACACATTCATTCAGAATGCGCAAGGATGTTTCGTCCCCCTCCTCCTCACAAAAGCTGCATTCATTATTAAGTCAGCATTAGAAAGGATCCCGGTTATTATGCGTAGGCTGTTCTTGCTTCAGATTCAGACTTACGATCTTTTTTGGTTATAGTTACCCAGAAGTGTCTTAACCCTAAGTGATCGTTCCAATTGTCGCTTCTTCTGGTGCTCAATTCTTTTTTAATCTCTCCTAATATTATGTTACTGCTGATACCTTCTGCAAAATAGCTCAGGTCACATAAAGGGTAGGTATTTAAACCCTTTTTCTTGTGAGCCTATCTAAAATATCGTTACCGTTTACTCCGGGACCAAAGTGAGTGACTGTATTTTTTTCGTCTAGCTCATTCAGTTTGTTTAGGCATCTCCAGACCATTTTTGTTTGATGATAATCTCATGTTGATCTGGATTCACTTTTCAATAACGTGAATTTCCACCTAGAAAATGCTTGTTCAGAGTACTTGGTTTTCCTATTCCAGTTCCTTGTGGGAACATTCTATTTACATCAGTAATCTGTCAGATTTTAATTTTTAATAATTTAAAAACTTCTCTAATTTCCAAGGTATTTAAATTGAATATTAGAAACAAAACTCAGACATTGGATAGAACCCAAAATAAAAGAAATGCAAGCACGTTTGGAAAGCGATTATTCTTTTGAAAATATATCAGCCTAATTAAAAAAAAAAATATTGACGGATTTGTTATTCTAAAAAAATTATTACAATCCTAAAACTAAAGAGCAGAGTAAATATAGGGAGTCCCCTTCACCTCTAGACAAGTGAGCTACTATTATAAGCAATTATTACGCAGAATTCATTTTTAAATTCCGTGATGCCTTAAAAGAAAAATGTTGCCGGTATTAAGGTATGTTGTTCCATCAAGAATTTGTGTTTAAATAGGTGCTATTGATTAAACAGGATTCCAATTGGTAGAATATCCACCTTATTGGCCAGATTTGGCCCTTAGTTGGTTTACCCTCGAAACTGAAATAACATTTGCATGAAAGAAATATTAAAGTGATGAATTTATGTCAGCCGTGAATTACTGGTTTAAATAGGTTGGAGAAAACTTCTTCCGTGACCCTCTTGAAATTGCGGGAGCATCGCTGGGACAAGTGCATTAGGATTAAATAAAGTAGTTGTTGAAATATTCTTTTATAATAAATAGGGATGAAACCTCGTATGTTGGATCAAAAGTTGCCAGTCTTTACGAATAAGTTAAATATAATGTGGAACGAAATCCACTTGGATTTTATCCAAATATTGGCTCTATTATTTTTAGTTCGTTTTCGTAAGTTTCTTTACGACTTAAGGGAAAATCGAGAGATCTAAAATAAAACAAAACACAACTTGTGGCTGTGGAAGAAAATATGATAATTGAAATCACTGATATTCTGAAATAAGCGGGCGTAGAGGATAGTTCAATGTTTCATTAGTTAACTATGAGTAGAGGTACCCAAATTTGTTCTAAATATGCCATATTGCAGTCTTTATAACCAAGATACAGAGTGTTTTATGAAATTAGCTTATTACTTTCTGGGGAAATAAGTATATTTTTTTGGTACACATGTTTTGCATACAATTCCTAAACACATAACGTACTAGCCACAAAATCCCAGTACGGATTATCAAAAAATCAAAAAATTGTATTGTCCCTAAACATCAGAATTTTTAAAATCCGTTTACATATTTGAATAGAAGAATGAAAAATACTCTTTTTAGTATTCAAATTTTAAACTTTTTATTATTTTATGTTAACTGTATATTTTAATATATGTAAACATCTTTAATGTGTATTTACAAGTTAGAACTTATATAATATACACAAAAACAAAATTAAAAGTTGTTTGAATATTAAATATTTCAAAACGCCGCCGCCATATCTCCCTTATTTAAAACCAATATTGTATAACATATCAATTTGTAAGTCTCACTGTGTAGATTGCGAATCACTATGGATTTGTTGAGCTAATTTCAATAATATCGTAAAAAAACACAAAAATTTGAACGATGCTGATATTTGGAAAAACGATCAAAAATTTGGACGTGTTTCTCTTTATATCAGTAATATATACTGGAATGGAAACATTAGAACTACTTCTTATAACTCATTTCCCTAATTGCACAACAAACTGGAATGCAGCAAACCAAACCAACACGAACTGGAACTCTCAAAAAAAAAGAGTCTCCCGCCAAAAGAGTGGGAAACTGTTAAACGGGTAGTCACAACAGAGAGCAATATGCACCTTCAATCCATACAAATCACCGAGACCAGATGGGGACTGCCTGTGCTTTTGTCACAGGCATCATCTGCTGGTGGATAGAAGAAGAATCTAAAAGCTAGAACTAGAACTAGAGTTAGTATTTATACCTGGGCTCCAAAGCTATATCTTCTATTTTGGACATTGAAGCAGTTTTCTAAAAGCAGAATTTTGGAAAGTACGAGATTTGGTGTTCGTGCTCGAATAGCAGAATTATAGAAGTTCTACTACATTCTAAGGAAGTTGCCACCCAAAACCATAAAGTAGTAACTAGATAGTGGCTAATTTTAATATTGGAGTTACAAAATTTAAATTTACCAGCTTAAATTCAATATTTACTTGTTTCTTAACATTTTCACTTTTTACTGATTTTTATAAATATATATGTTGAATCTTATTTTTTTTAAAGGTTACAACAATTCACTTTTACCTAAATTTTATATAAGTTTTAATTATTTTCCTTTTGATAAAGCTAGAGTTTATAATTCTCACTAGCTTTCTAAAAATAAAAAAAGATAATAATTGGCGCCCATTTCTCTTAGAAAACTACTATCCACAAAGGTGTCTATTGCATTTACGACTGAGAAAACTATATAGTCAATGTGCTTATTTATTTTTAATTTGATTAAAGGTACGTAATGTTTGGTGTTAAATTTCTATGAGCTAGTCAAAATTTCTTATAAGTGTTTTGAAATTAACATTCTATTGCCAAATAACGCTAAGCTATTACACCCTGTATAAAATGTGAAAACAGCTAATGTTTTATATGAATTTGAAGAATAATCCCAAACTAAGATAAAAATTAAAATTCTAGTTTCAGTATTTTTTGACTCACCCTGTATTTAATAATAATTTTCATCAGGTTATGTTGGAAATATTTTTTGAAATCAGTAAAGTATTATTCTTGGAACACATCTAAATATCTGCAATCAAAATATTTAAGTAGTTAAGAAGCACAGTCTGTTTAAAAAGGCCAATTTGTAACTTCAACACCCTGTATATCAGAAACTAGACATTGAGTTGTTCAAGTGGACTCTATTGTTCAGGAACTTGACAGTTAAGGCAAAATACCAAAAATTCAGGAAATTTTTCCATAATATATCTGCCTAGCCTAACTATTAATAAATAAATAATCTAACTATAAATATATCTGTTTTGTGAATGAACATGATCTTTTTAAACAATACAATTGTCCAGTTCAAAAAGTAAAGTCAATTATCTAAATTAGACGGAACCGTATGTTACAGTTGAGTGTTTTACAGTATCATTGTTTCCTTAGATTGTCTTTGCAGTTAATTGAGATTTCAGTTAATTCGGAACAGCAAGCAAGAAACCGTAGATAATCCGAAAAAAGCACAAATTGAATCATTAATTAATGTTGCGGGAGCAAAGCGTCTGGTCCTAACAATATTTATCAATGACAGAGCGTATAAATTGTAGTTATTTCTAGGCAAGGAACAAGATTTATTGTATAGGATTTACCTTGTAAGAGCCCAAGTGATTAACAACGCATGTGAAATAGACATCACGTCCCTGAGTGACTGTGTGATTCTCCAGGGGAGCCAAGAACTCCGGTTCGGGATCGGGTATTTGACCTGTAACAAAACGAAAGATAACTGCATAGACTTGCCAACTAGATAAGTGAAGTGAAGATATTCGCGAATATAATCTGGTGAAAGCGAGCCGAGAACGTGTTCGGTATACGGAATCATAGCCGTAGCATCATAAGAATTCAAATATCCCAAAATGTTGCTTTGACAATGTCTTTAAATAAAATATCGATTCTCTTTTCTGGCTGTCCTATCCGAAACATTTCGACTTTACATTCTAATCTAATCAAAATATGCCACTTCAAAACTCTGAAATAATTGCGAATAATTGAACAAAAAAAGATTTTTTGTCCTTTATTCATATTACATACGTATTACATTGGTAAACAAAAATGAAACTTTTTATGACATGGATAAAAATGAGGTTATATAAAATTTCACCAAAAAATACTCTAGGTTTTCTTCATAAATGAATTGACAATTGAAGACCTTGGCGTAATAAGGATACATGCCACATTCTAAGTTTTGAGAAAATGGAGTTATAAATTTATTTAAATGTCAAATACAAATTAAAAAAAAATTATTTAAACATAAATATTACTAAAAATAGTGCCTCTAATTTGAAATAGAGGTAAAATAATTTGTATGTGACTAATATCCTTATTAATACTATTAATAGATGTTTTGAGCGAAGATAGTCACTTCACGACAAATTGTGGCTTGCGCCCTTTTTACACCAAGGGCTTCAATTATGCTACATGAATACATGTTTCTTTCGTTACGATATTCATTCTTATGTTACAAGACAAAGGTTATTCATATAAATCAGACTGATATAATGATACTGAATTTTATTTTAATATGAGATTTCGTTAACAGATAAAATTTGTTTATGATAGACCTATAAACTGGGTAACCAATCGACCATGATATTTTAAGATATTATTCTTTATCGCCAAAATACCCAGAATTAAAAAATGCATATAATGAGAAAAATAAATCTCATAATAGCTATTTATGAAAGCAGTTACGAAATGCTTTATTTTATGTAATGAGTGAATATTTGCGGAACAAGCAGAACGAGGTCCCACAGGAGTTGCATAAAACATCATTTTATAACGTGTGACATACAACATTTAATCTAGTTTAGTTTAGATTATACCATCAGGTCCAGCTGTTTTGTATTGTTGAAGGAAAATTTATCGCCCACACAAGTTTTGTTCTGTTTACTATTGAGTTTGCAAGAGACCAGTTTGTTTTTGAGGCCCTAGAAATTAGTGCCTCGGTACTCCTGTTCTCTTGGTCAAGAATACTCTCACATCCAGGAAAGTGTGACTTTAGTAGTAAATCTAAAGTCTCCTCCTCTGTTTTTGTGAGTTCTCCTTGTTGATTTTTTAGAGATCCCATGCATCCTTGCTTATCTCTCTGTAGAGTTTTCCTGAGTCTGGCACATTCTGGAAGGCTTTCAATGCCGTCACAGAATTTCATCCAGGAATTTTCTTTGGCTTTCCTAATGACAGCCATATTCTCTCCAGTACGCCTTATAGGATTCCCAGTTCCCCGACCTTTTGAACAGGTTAAAGAATTTACGAACTTCTGCTTTTTTTTTTGGAAAGGTCTCGATTCCACCATACAGCGTCTCGATCCTCTTCCTCCTCCGGCACGTCAGCCGGGTCAGACAGCGGTGAGTCCCCTAAAAAAGTCCTCTCCTCGTCTTCACCTAGCTCACGTGCTGTGGATTTCGAGTCCCCTATTTCCATTGAAGCGTCAGTTTCTTGTTCTGTAGCCCCACTTTTTTGTGGTTCTACGACCAACGACTGATTCTCCTCTGGTATGTTTTCTCCTACCTCAGTAGGAGTTTCTTTTTCCTGAGAAGTTTCAGGAGCAGCAGGAGTAGCCCGTTTCGTCCCTGCTTCTCCTTTATCTTCTCCCAAGAGACGAAATCCATGGTTATGAAAAGTTGCTATCCCCTACGCTTCAACTGCCTTCCAGTAACCCTCCAGTGCTGATTTAGAATGAAAAATAAGGACCAAAACAACCTTAGTACTAGGTTGTAAGTTTAACCAAATTCCATTTTTATAAGTTAACCTGCCCTTCTTTAATAATATTGTATATTATTGATTTTAAAACAAAAAAAGATTTATTTTTATTTGGTTTCTTTCCGCAACTGGTGACAATGAATAAAACCAGTTTCATAATGCAACTGGTTACATAAAGTAGATCATTTTGAAACTTGTTGCGGTTTTATAAATACACAAAAAAAAATTTCCGGACAAAATAAATAGAAGTGAAAACATAACCAAAGAACGTTTGAAAATAGTATCAAAAATTATTAATAAAAAGTAAATATGCTAGTGTGTTAAGCGATCCTCAAACATTAGCTAATATATTATTTAAAGATTGTAGATGTAGAAAAAATTAAAAATAATTCTTCCGGTAAACTCCAAAGCGTAAAAACAATTATTGTCTTTTCAACTGGTAATAAAAATTCTATTTATATCCTTTTAATGAATCAGATTTTTATCGATTTTAAGTAAAAAAATAATATCTTGTGCCGACGATATGGCGTCATTTTTAATAAAAAACATTTAATTTTGTTAGTTTAACCGTTATGTTCTTTATTTATTTTGTCAGGGTCTATTTCCCAACAAACTAAAAATAGGTAAAGATACATAAAAAGAGCGATAGGCAGAATTTAGCAAGCCATAGACTAGTAACAGTGCTTTCTGTGTTTTCTAAAATTTTTGAGTATTACTCAAAAAGATTGAAAAATATGAAATAATAACTGTCATTCACGGCACAGTACATTGTGTGTACAATAGCCTCGACTCAGGCGAACGCTCTGTTGGATACTCAGTCAAACGCTCTGTCGGATCTTCTTGTATAATGAGCAGGACTTTTGGTGTGTAGATCATAATTTGTTAATTTCAAAATTTGAAAATATATAAGTGCAAAATCGTGCTCAATATGTTGATATGATAACTATAATAAATTGAAATCAAAGACAACTTATCGAGGTTTCTATCGGTGTCCCGCAGAATTCTGTATTGGGTCCTGTGTTTTTATATCTAACGTAAATGACATTAATCAGAGAAAGGGTGGAAAAGCCAATGTGAAAGTGAAAAAAGTTAAAACCTTTAAATATGAAACTTTTAGACGAACTCTACAATCTGGTTGAATACACAACATTTCTAGGTATCCAAATAGGTAAAATTCTTGTTTTAAAATTAAATTCTGTTAATAATAAAAAAATTAATAATATAATATATTACGTAGTAGTAGAATTTCGTTTGCGCTGTGGCATGTTTTTGTGGATGGTCAACAAATGTAGAGTAGAAGACGTATTTTTAGGCCAAAAACGTATGATAAAGAGTATTGCAGGAATAACAAGCACTAACTCATTCAAAAAGTATTTTAAATAGTTTAACTTTATATAGCTTGTATTATTTTGAAATGTGGGTATATATGTTCACAAAAATTTACATTTATTTACTTCGGTGGATAACTATCACGTTTTAAATACTAGACAAAAAAACAAAAATATGCTTCATGTTCTGGCATTTAGATCGCCAAATTATGCAGGTCCCCGTTGTTTTTATAATTTGTTGGCAAATGAAATACAAAACTACCAATAAAACAATTTTAGAGGGAATATATGACTCTTTAAATAATTACTAATATTGATTTTAATTACTTTTATTTGTTAAAATAATATTTATCTCTTATATCTTTTTAGGCTTAGTTTAGATTTCAGGATTAAGATTAGTTTTTAACCATTCCGAATACAATTTATTGTAATTTTCTGTGAGGATTATAATAAATAAAAAACAGTACAAAGAAAAGTTAAGAGAGTAATCCACAAAAAATGTTTCTAAGTAGGTCATGATAAAGATACGAGTCACGTCCGTGATAACTATGAATAAATCCAAATTGGCTATTTAAAAAATAAGAAGAATTGCACGCTCCGGCATTTGTAATTTTTTCCATGACCTACTCTTAAAAGCATTCTTTGTGGATCACCTTTAAAACATTTACATTATGTATTTCTATAGAAGTATCAGACAACTTATGATATAACATTGTATTTATCTATGACGTTTTTATTACTTTTTTGAATTTATTATGGAATGTTGTATTTTAAAAATATTTATTGTTTAAATTTGTATAAATTATTGCACTCCACTTCTAATAATACTTGTATGTAGACGTGGTGGACTGGGCAGATGAAGAATACAATCCATCTGTCTATGATTGGCAAACTGCCAAACACATTGTAGACGATGAAAAAATTAGATGGGCAATATCCAGCTTCTCTCCATTTAAATCGCCAGGACCTGACGGTATCTATCCAGCCCTACTACAGTGGGATCTGGAAGAACTCACACCGCACCTGGTGGGTATATTCAGATCCTCGTTGGCTTTGAGGTATATCCCCCAAAAATGGAGAGCAGTAAAAGTGGTATTTATACCCAAACCTGGAAGGATGGATTACACTGTCCCAAAAACATACCGACCAATTAGTCTGACATCGTGTTCCATGAAGACATTAGAAAGGCTTTGCAAAAGGTACATAAGGAATGCGGTGATTACCAACATGCATACACCCCAGGCAGATCTACTGATTCAGCCCTTCATCTAGTTGCTGGCCGGATAGAAATATTCCTGGCCAATAAGGAGTCCGCCTTGGATATTTTCATAGACATAGAAGGTGATTTTGATAAAACCACCTTCCCAAAGATAATACACTCACTAACCAGCAGGAATGTTCCACAAATGGTTAGTGGGTGGATACATAACATGCTCTCAAAGCGAGCAGTAAACATAAGTGTAGAAGATGTGAATATAAGAGGCTTGGTTGCGAGGGGATGTCCACAGGGAGGGGTGCTATCACCTCTACTGTGGAATATGGTCCTCGACACCCTCTTTAGCCGCCTCAATAATGACAATCACTACACAATAGCATATGCAGATATGACCTGGTCATTCTGCAAAGAGGGAATTTTGAGAACATACTCTGCGAAAGAATGCAAGTAGCTCTAAAAATT